GAGGATTTAGCACTACCTTACAACCCTCTAGTTAACAGCCCGTAGCTACCCGAGGATAGGAAAAAGGAGGCGACAGAGAATACTACCGTTTATTAGAGTCGAACCAGCCAAGTGGCTTTGTGTGCGTAACAGACGAATGCTGACAAAAATCAATAACAAAAGGGGATGAGTCATCGCTACACACGGGCCTTCATGCACGCACACTCGCGCGGGGCGGCTGTCAGTCCACTACAGTTCCTAGGTTCAAGATTTTCAATTTCGTTCGCGTTTGCATTTGAATGAACTGTGTGCAACAATAATGCTATGCAACCACCTCAGAGGGTGGATAGACTTTAAAGTACAAATTGTTTAAACACTGCGCAATGTGTCTCCCAATAAAGTTAATTGACAAAAATTTCAAAGGTAAACATAAATAAGGCAGCCAGACATAAATAAAGTGCATAAAAAACATGCCTTAAAATCTGCTTAAGTACATTTGTACTCGCAAATAGTAACTAAAATACTGACAAAAATTGAACCGTGACAGCCGTGGTATATTAGTTGAGCAATCAGTAGATAATATTTAATGGCCTAAATGCGTTGTAATTCAAAAGTTTGAGTGATTGATCTACTGGTTAATAATAAACGATTGATACAGAAAAGTCATTTAAAATATTTTACTTTAATATCGGCGCAAACTTTACTCAGCAGCAGTACAGCAAACCATTAACTGATTCCTGCGATTTGCAATCATCGTTTTTCACAGAGGCCAAGGTAAAATACATGCCCCCCAATAAATGGATTTTTTTTCCCTAAATAGGACTGCAACAATAAATTTATGGGGTCAAAACCACTCAGCCTAGATGATAACTTTATTTTTGTGTTTATAACCAAGTAGTCGAGAGTCTCATTAACCATACCTTAATGAATCCAGAGTTAACGAATGCTACTCATACTGTTAATAATCACAGAAGAAATGGATAAATCTGTTACAGATCAGACTTTTAAATTAGTCCACTTTCCTCGTTCAGGCTTACACAATCAAAGGTTGCCCTGTAAATACTTTTCACCTCGTATATAGCAGTATTTTTTGAAGAGTAATGGGAAGCCTCTTACTAGGGTTCCGATCCTTCTTTTGTATCGTGAGGACTAAATAGATGAAACTTCGCGACTGAATATTTTCCCACCATGCATTCTGGTAGTCAACATCAAACAAACATCAGACAATGCTTCTTAATAATGCCTAGTCTTTGTGCTCAAGTCGTACTGTGTTGGGCGACAAGTCGAAACTAACGCACTTTTTTTCCATGTCTCAAAGCATGAAAAAAGGTTACATTTTTGACACTTGATGTTATTTACACTCACTATTCAACAATTTGTTCGAGCGTCCCTTCAATGCCAGCACGGAATTAAACGTGGGGTTGACAGGATGTTATGGGTTTTGTTTGCAGAGGCGAAGCAAAGCTTGTCGGCAATTAGGAAAAAGCAGTAAAAAACGACTGAGGACACTTTATTTATTACAGGACATGAGTTATCAATTAATTCGTGTATTCTGTTGCAAAATTAACAAACTACTGAAACGTATCGCCCTATTGCTTAAACTAATCCTGTGGGAGAACTTTGTTTCCTAAACGTTGTAATCCTACTTCCAAGTAAACTGTTGCAAAGCTCTCTTGTACTCTCTTGGCTACGGTTTATGCAAGATGACAAGGTAATTAAACCTTAGGAAGTAGTAGGTTGTACAGTAATTTAAATTAAGTCTAAATCCATGTGAAAGAATTTTACATGAAGCAATAACCAAAAGAAACTGTGATTTTCAGAGTTGTCTGGTTTGGGTTTTCTAGAAGAAGGTTCACAAATCGGTTTTGACGTGTATAGTTTTCAAACAGACAAAACATCCCAGACGGTGATGTAATTATGAAATTGTGCGCTCACAAGCTGCATTCATAACCTCTGTTACCAACTAACACTGGGTAAATAACTAAATAGTTTATAACCCTAACTCCTAATGGCTTTTGTTTTTAGTACTAAAACCTGCCATGCGCACCAAAATGGATCCGATGTTCCCACGTCATTTGTTTGTCTATAATGCCATTAGCACACACTTTGGACACTTTCTCCGAATCCATCTCATTTCATCTCGTAGATTGTATTAAAAACAACTCATTTCTTGTTGTAGGTGGTAGTTACATGGTTTAGGTAAGTTAAACCATAAATAAATTTAGTGTGACTGTCTAGACCTCAAAACACTGTATCAAATAAATGGTTGGTAGCAATGACTAGACATTATATAGAAGCATTGTTAGTCAACTTGCTTACAATCTTCTTAACCCCGCGGTTAAAGAAACAACTCATTTATATCCCTCTTTTTAAATACATAGAAGAAAAGTCAAAATTGCAGCCTTTTGCAGTAAATTTTAAATATGGCGCTGCATTTACTCGGATTTGATTTGTCCACACATTACAATGAAAAAATCCGAAATGGTATGGCTTAGAGACACCTATTAACTTTGAGGTAATGCATGCTTCCGTAGGGCATGGCCTTTAGGGGTTAGTAAGACAGTTTACACAGGGTAACTTTGGACTTCCTACGTGCATTTCTAAAATGTGAAATTTCTACGCGTCGTTTGTATTATAAGAGTGCTAATCCTGTTTTTTTTGTCCATTTTCATTTACAATGAACGTACACAACAGCGACAGAATGGAATGCCCTTGGCACTCTTTTTGTTATTTCAAAACACAGACTTCAAGGAAGCACACTGCATAATTGGCGAACCAGAATAACAGGAGTGCCTAATAGCAACCCCAAGTGGAGTTGCCGCGACACCAAGCAATGTCTAAGAGGACCAAAATTACTGACAGAGGTAGGAGGAATTGTAGGGGACTGACTCTGTCGTAGGTCAGAAAATTTTCAACACGTAAAATTAATGTAGCATCAGATGACTGAAAGTCCACAGAGGACCAGGACAGTGATTCTCACAAGACAAACAGCATACAGAAGACTACTCACAGTGAATCAGTTTTGTCGGAAGGAAATTTTGCGTTCTCCAACATATGATCTTAAACCACTCCGGGGTCACTGAATTAACTCTGGTCCGATTGCGCTTCCCTGATACCCACGATAAAGAAAAAGACCGCAGAGGACGTGGACACAACCGTTTACTTCAGAGCTCAATCATGTTGGTGTCGTGTCGTGACGTGTGTGGGGTTTGCACGTGTGTATTTGTACCTCAGATGTGTGAGTCACAGATGCGCTAACATCGAGACCTAGGTGTGAGGATAATCCAAAATAAATGTCAGTGTGAATGAAGAAGGAGTTGGGGATCCGCGCGGCTAGCGCCAAGCTGCGAAAAGGGGAACCCTGCGTAAGAGGGTGGAGCGACCGGATTAAGGAGTGTGCATAAACACAATTAACAGCAGACACATATCACCCACTGCATGTTTATAGTACAAATGCATCACTTTTTTCTGGAATATTCAAATGTCAGTGATTAATTAACCAGATATCGTGTACTAATACCTAGTTACCACGTCTGCATTGTCAGCTGATTACCGGTCATTTTTTACTGATTGTTTTCGTGTAATAAGCGTGCACCATTTTGTTTTTCTGGTGTCGTGCGAAGTGCATGTTATCAGAACAAGGCAATCTTAGCTAAACTGTGCTTTTGTGAGGCCTTTGCTTGGTAGAACCAACAACAGACAACAAGTTCGCCCCGCTGGGCGATCACATCAGAATGGGCTTTTGTCACGCGACATTACTGGGACGATTCCAAATTGCCAATTCTATAGACAATGGTAAAAATAGGTTCCTATTTTATGCATCAGACGACTTTTGCGGCCTAAAAACGCTGCTTCAGATTCATTACGCCTACACTGGAGTTGCTTCTCCTGCAATGTTTTATTGTTTTACCATCCGAAATGACATTTTGCCAGTTATTTTTATATTTTAGATGACAACGTTTTTTGAGGATGTTCAGTCACATTAATTGCGTCACAGTATGAATTCATTGATCTATACACAGACTCCGTCTTTTTACGCCTACTAAAACCTCCTGACATGATTTTATTTGCCAGCTACATTTCTAAATTTCCAGTCTTCTTTAAAAACTGGTTGTAAAGAGGGCTGCTGCGTTTTATTTCTTGAAAATCTCCTAATATGTACACAAACTCGTCTTATAAACCTCAGTATTCCTTTTTATTTGCATCCAATCGAATTTGGATTACCTTCTTACTGCTTGTATTCAATTGTTCGATTTGCCTACTGGATGATCTGGATGTTTTCAGGTGGAAGTGTGTTGATTGTGCTTAAGGCACAACCGAGATCGTTTTGGTGAGAGAATTTGTGTAAAGCTAAGTTTTATTGATTTTCGACACGCCTGGCGTGTAAGTCACGTTCCCCTCAGACTTATCTGGCCGAAATTCTACGGCCTTCCGCCAATGGAGGCTTCAAACGGTCCCTTAAGCGGCCCCAACAAAGGCTTCAATGGCCTACTCCGGACATCGAATTGCAATTCTAAAAGGGTCGCCGGTCAAAGTGAAATCAAGCCCAAACCTGTCCAACAATGCGATTCACAAATTCAATGCAACCTGTCCAATAATAGAGTGCTTCCGAAAGGCACTCCAAATCGGAATAACTCCCAAAACATTCCTGGCACCGAAAAAAAAGCGGACAAGGGAAGAAATAAAGTGCCACGTCCACAAGATAAGTACATGCAGTACATCAAGCCAACTTATGCATCATTGACTATTAGAACAAAAACCCGTTTTCTTTGTGACTATCACCATGAAATAGCCAAAGACAATTACGCGAATGACGAGAATGAGGACATGGATGATTTAACGAGCCACATTTACGTCACCTATCGTGCCGGATCGAGTTACCGTCTTTCTTTTCTGGCCGAAAACATCACCATGGAACCGTTGTTTATATTCCCGAGGAGTACTCCACCTAGCAAGAATGAGAAAATTAGTCAGATTAAGTCGCGAATGAGAGTTGCTGATGACCCAGTTATGGTGGATTGCGTGGCTCTCAAGCGACCAAAATATAGCTTGGATGAGAGCACTGAGGCCGACAAGGTGCCACTTCCGCAAGTTCAGGTATACACGACCACCCACTTGAACCCTAACAAAGGTAAAAACAGCATTAGCCGTCCAACTAGGTCCAGTACAACGGGATTCATCTGCCTGAAACTTGATGATTTATTTATGAAGGTACGTGTTGAACCGCTTCCAATAACAAAGATTCGACCACCCATCACAAAGGAGGTTAAATCCACTATGGAGAGATTACGGATGCCCTGTTCTGAGGAGTTTAAGAATAAGGCTCAGCTGCTGGTTCGATTCAGAAATGACATTCTACGGATCAAATTTGACCTCTCCGATTGCAATGTCTCCAAGCTGCCTGAATGCAAGTCGTTGGCTGTCCAAACAGACACACGCATGATTATCCGTCAGCGGTGGAGCCCTTTCACCAATCAACTCGTCAACCTCCAAATTCCAGAAACCACCTACATCTACAATGACCCCATGATTGACATCCGCAGGCTCAACCGCTACTTTGCAAAGCTCCAAATTTTCCCGCTTTGGAAGTACGAGATGTTTCAAAAACGGGTGTCACAAATGCGTGTAAATAACACGATGGAGGGGGAGATCAGAAAGGTGATTGGACGCAATCGGGGTTCGTTTATTGTTTTCGACGGATTTGACGCCATCGCCACTGCCTCGGGTGGTTTACTGTGCGCCAGAGTAGTGAAGGGGCGCGAGTATTATGAGGAGAAGATTCGACATTTTCTGGGGATTCAAGAGGAGGTCGAAGCAGACGAAGACGGGGCACTGGAAGAAAAAGAGGCTCAAAATGAGGAAGGATTTTGGGAGGGTGAGGAAGCTGAGGAGACGTTACAAAATATTAACATGCCATCCAGCTTTGCCGCATAGGTAAGTGTTCCGGTTTGATTATCTTTCCGTTCTTGGTATTCCTAACTGATAAATTCGTTTTAAAGAGCAAATAGTATTCGGCTAACGCCCTTGAGTGCCATTCGTGCCGTGCCATCGAATTAGGGTAAGACTTAGTCAAGGAGACAAGAGGAAGGTAGTTAACGCTGACTCACCATACCACAATTAATGTTGCCTCTACTCTGATAGTTTTATTGCGCGTCGACTGTGTCAACAACCCTACTGACGTTTGTTGATTCCATCGTTGCTAGAACACAAAGTTTACGGGCGAGATAAATCACTAAGATGGTTAACCCTAAATTTAGTGTGGTTTGTTCGCACATCATTTCACTTGAGCGCAAGCGTACCCACGAGAACTCCTGCAATCGCCCTTCTTTCTGAATTAATTGCCCTAAAATTTCCAGTCACACTGCTTCTAGTACACCTATTTTTTCCCCCATACCATTTGTCGTCATAACACTGTTTAGCACATTAATATTGGCGACAATACCATTTAGCAGCTGACATGTAACCTGATGTAACTAACACCCAAAGCATTTTCCGCAGACCTTTCTTTGTTTTGCTGGAATGAGTCCCATTTTATGACCCTACAGTCACATTTTTAGACTATTAATCACCTTCTCTTATCACTGCCTTATTTGACAAATCGATAATTCAACTTTAAGGGAAATTATGAAGCGGACTTGAAGCTGGGGAATTTTAAAATGTTGTCAGCACACCTGGCTGCAGTTTGCTCCTTTGATGGAAAACTGTGCACTTACCTGAATTAGTACATTTTAAACGTGCGAAATGACTAATTATTAAGCTGTTTGAATGCATGGGGATGATTGGTTTATGCTGTGTTCCTCATTAAATGAACCAAGTCGGAAGACACTAAGAGCATTCCTTTAAGCAACACATTCCGGGATGCAAGTAAGCATATTTTGATTCCCGGAACCCTAACCTATGATTGTTTAACACCATATTGAAATCCACAGAAGCAACACCAGCAAACTTGAAATGTTTCTCGTTAATTTCAAACAACCACTTAAACAAGCAGAATTTTCTCACCCTCGACTAGTTGCCTATTGGTTGTGAGGAGGATAATATGACTATCAAGCCGGCTTTGATGTCATCAGGGAGCATTTTCGTTTTATGACCAAACGTGGATTTGCTGCTACGGAGCAGTGGGGATTAATTATTGTCATTCTGATGCTATGGACAGGGGGCTAGTTTGCATCCCTCTAATTGCAGGTCATCTTGTTACGCCCCCGCATAACCTACCTCTTTCATTCTCCCGATTGGGAAGTACGTGCTAAACGGGAAGCGATTTGATCCTGGGAAGGATTTATGAGTGGATTTTATTTAACTACAGCGTGTTGTGAAGCTTGCAGTCATCATAGTGTACATCGGTACCACTTTTGTTACCGATACGGGGGCTTCCTTTGCTATTTACGCCACTTAGACTCGCGCAAAAGCCAAACAACGTTGGTATTCGGTACGCTATAGGTAACACTATTCGAATGAAAACATGCATAATACTTTTTAAGCTTTATTATAAATTAGCGTGAACTGGTTCAAGAGAATCGTGTGTACTCTTCATATTCAAAAAGAAATTCCGTGGCCCCGGAGTGGTTCAAGACCACATGCTGGGTCCCACAACAATTGGAGAACCCGACGTGATGAAAGGTTCTCCAAAATCCTCAACGGAATTAGTTGGACTTACACATGAGCTCGTCCGGATTTCGTGATCCAAAGAGGATCACTCAAATTTAAATGAAAATACTTGAGGCTTAGTGAGAAACTGGGCAATTGATGGTGTGTGAAATTGTCTCCAAGTCAACCACCAAAGTCAGCATACACAAATTAAACAGCGGAATCTAGGAGACCACTTGACAGTGCTTGGCTTGGCTCGTAATCGCGGAATGAGACTTCTCTCTACAGCACCCGCAAGTTAGGAAGTGTCCGTGTTAATCCCAATTTTAGACTTTTAAATATGAACTGTGACTTTTCATAGGTGACTTTGATCAGCTCAGTGGATTAGATATTCTCAGAGTTTAAATTTAAATGCACAAACTACCCCACAACAAACCAACACACCACATGTCAATACAGTGTTGGCTTCTGTTCCTACCACTGGCTTATTGCCGTGTACTTTCCATTTTAGCTTCGTGTTTCGGACTTATTTACCGAAACTCAGATCTGAGGAAGCAACTGTGATCCTGTTGCGGGCCAATCAAAACAAAATGAACTCGTTAACTTTAGCGCTTGCTTCAAAGCTTCTTTGAGTTAACTAAAGTGGTTCAATAAAAGTGAATTGTGTGGATGCAACCAGTGCCTTCTTAAATCGCCAATCAGCCCCGAGTTCGTGTTTTAGCTAAACAGTAGTAATTGAGATACAAGTGAATTTTTATATTAACTTTGTTAAATCAGGGGACTTATGGTTGGACAATGTTTTTAACAATTGTTCAAATTTGTATCGATAATGTTTGCAGTACTTTTGTTTACACTGGGCAAAAATTCTCACGATTACTGCAAAATGACTAATTACATGCTCTTATTTTGTTGACGGTCGTCTCTAATTACTACGCAAATCTCATTTTTTTCAAGTTTTACATAAATATGTGAATTTAAACCTAACTAGGACTGCTTAATGTCAAATAAGTTAAATAGCGGCTCTACGATTGGCCAGTGCTACCTAATTGATTTAAAAAATGTCCATGGCTTAATAATCACATCAAACGCTACCACACCCCACGGATCGATTGGATTTGGTTTAATTTTACCAAAATTACAACTCAGTCTACGCTAAGCTGACAATTTTCCTTTTCAAACAAATATCGGGCCCATAAATAACAATACATTATGTACTTGCTTTTGGAACAAACTGGTCATAAACTTTAGACAATTCTAGCCCCAACCATCACTGATTTAAGGCGCTAAAAAGTCAGGTCAATGTGATCCCTAAGGTCCATTTTGCATAATTCGACATTTACATGAATGTTTTTGTGGAATTTTAAGTCCCTTTTACGAACTCCACATTCATATGTGAACATACATTTGGGTGATGATTTGATTTAAGCACAGCTACAATGTATGAGCTGGGTACGATAAATTAGTTTTAGGATTTATAAAGCTATTTCAGTGATGTTATGCTGTTATCAAGAATTCGCATTACAGTGGCATGGGGCCTTGCCAAAATGACAAGACATGTCACAAGGTGCATTGAAACAGCATCTAAAATGGACTATTTGTAGAGAACTGGTACTGCAGGAAAAAGTATTGGAAAAGCTTGAATGTGGTGTGGCTAAGCAACACATCGAAGGTTTAATCGAAAAAATCTGTAAAATTACTGCAGGAGAATTTTCGCACCGTGTCATCAACAAGCTGCACTGGGTACTCTAGTCGATGTGAAATGCCCCTCAAAGCATTGATCCTGGCTACAAGGCCAGCGCCGGACTAAATTGGGCTGTTAAGACAGCCACAAATATCGTACAAATCACTAGACAGTCCATTGTCTGTAGTGGACGGCCAGCGGACGGTTAGCAGTTCAGTCTGGACCAAAAGGATTCATAAAAAGCGGAGCAGTCCCCGACCCCGCGATACTTTCCATTGGTCATTGTTCATATCAAGTCCTCTCTGTCTACTAGTTCTTGATGGAAGCGTCAACTTACACGCTATTGTGGCATTTAAGTCCTGTATGGAAGACAAAAAATTTGCATCTACTTGATCGCGGATCCCTCCCACCTTCTTTATTATTGGATCCCTAGGTTTTGAGCCAATAAGAATTGTAAGACGGTAGTGGAGCAGTCCTAGCAGTTGTCTGAGAAGATACATGGAAATGGAAGAATGAGACAGCAGTGCCTTCATGCCAAAAGATGAATTCCTCATCAACGATTAGCATTTTTCCTAGGACTCGGACACAGCGGTGATTGGGACTATCATAAGGGAGGTAGACGCTATATGTAAATGAAGCCATGGTATGAGAGAGGCACCATAAAACCACACGGGGAAGATGAATCGGGTTAAGTCCATGGTGAAGTCAGGGACAGTTCAGTCAAGCAACGTTACGGACTCCAATCATAGACTCAAAATGACTTCGAGGGTCCAGTTTATAGGTGGGCAGATTTAAGAGTTGCCTCCTCAAGACAGAGATATTTGTTGTACCACCTTGGCTCGTGGGAGAACGCACTGAGGGGTGCTAAAACTTGACGCTCCTTCAACTCATAGATTATGCCTTTTGGACTCGTTATGCCCTGTAAAATAGCGGCCCTTCCTGTTTACAGAAGCGGTCATGATTATGCTCTAAATATAAGTCGTCTCCAGACCTCAAGACCGCGTCATCAACTCAAATCTGCTCGTGATTTGTAAACCGTGAATTGGTAACTGTCTGCTGGAAGTCCACTACAGACGACGGACTGTCTAATGATGTGTACGATATCTGTGGCCGTTTTAGCTGCTCACTTTCGTCCAGCGCTGACCTTGTAGTCGGGATCTATGCTTTGAGGAGAATTTCACATCGACTAGATTACCCTGTGAAGCTTGTTGTTGAACAAATTACTCAAATACGAATCACCCAATCTGAAAAATCGCCTGATTCCGCTTGTTCACATAGGTCTTTCTGCCTCGACTTTTATCGGCACCGTAGCACTTCGTGTGCGTTTTTGCTAAGAACAAACGAGTCTCAGAAGTTGAAATGCTTCATCAATCGAATAGTACTGTGGAGTGGTTAGAGAGACAGTTACGTATATTTTAGCGAGGCAGATTAGCCTCCATCGAAAGGTCAATCTCACATTGGCGCCATGTATACCCAACTAACGCCCCAATCACCGAACACACCTACAAATTCAAGTACCTCATCCTCGAAGTTAGGTCGTAAAATTTGAGTGTGACATCTAGTGCCACGACCTTCACGTTTGTTTAAATAAAGCGAAAACTTTTCGTGTTTTTGGACACGATGCAACTCTACACTTAACTCTTCCCAGTTGTTTTCATTTACGTTA